CAAAGTAGACTTCAAGGAAAATATCAGGCACAAAGAAGAGCATAGCATGATGATAAGAGGGTCAATTCCCCTCAGAGACATAACAATCCTAAACATCTATGCACCTAACAACAGAGCATCAAAATACTTGATGCAAAACTGACAGAATTGCCAAGGAGAAAGAGAGATCAACTATTATAGTTGGGAAGATTGCTTCCCTGTCAGCAATGGTGAGATCAAGCAGGCAGATAATCAATAAGGATACAGTGGACCTGACAGCACTACCAACCAAACTTGATATAATCAACATTTATAAAATAATCCACCTAACAACAGCAGAATTTGCATTCCTCTCAAGCTTACATGTAATGTTCACTAAGACAGCTCATATTCTGGGCCACACTATATACCTTGGGGGAAAAAAAAGGAATCATGAAGTATGTTCTTAGACCACAGTGGAATTAAACTAGAAATCAATAATAAAGATAGCTAGAAAACTCTCCAATTATTTAGAAATTAAGCCACACATTTTTTAATAACACATGGGTCAAAGAAGAAATCTCAGGCGGTCTGGGCCACAGATAACTATTTGGGAGTTATTTGTATAGAGAGACAATTAAAACCATGGGCTCAGCTTGAGAAAATACAGAGCAGAAAGTGGGTCCAGAATGGAACCCTGAAAACTCCACTGTTCAGCAGACTGGCAGATAGCTAAGAACTACAGATAATACCATAAAAGTTAGCCTAGAACTATATCCTGTTTTATAAACTAATTCCTATAAATTTTCTGAAATGAATCCTCCTATAAATATATATAGTTAGCTAATTGATCTGGAGTATTTCAGAGCAGTGGTTCTGGAGACATCTAGAATTTTAGTATATTTATTTTTACTTGGATCATAAAGCACATTTAATGTAATAAGATCATCATATTAAATTAGACCTAATTTTAAAAAAGCTTATTGGTTGAAAAGTAAATGAGGTAGGAGTACAGGGAAGGGAAAGGAGTACTTTCTTATTTATAATCTCATAAAATTTGAGTATTAGCTTGGATACTCAAAACAGAACAATGTCTGTTTATTGTAATACATTACATATGAATAAGAGAAATGCAAAATTCATACAGCAACAACATATTTTACCTAGCAGACTGAAAAAGATTAAAAAATATACACAACACAATATATAGGTAAGTGTGTAGGGAAATTGGCATTCTCCTATCAGGCTGGTGGAAGAATAAGCTGGCACAATCTCTAAGAAGGCAGTCTGCAAACTACTGTTAAAATCACATATGAACACAAAGCTAATATCATACTCAATGGTGAAAAACTGAAAGCTTTTCCTCCAAGATCCAAAAAGAGGATGCGCACTCTCACTACTTTCGTTCAACATCGTACCAGAAGTCCTGGCCCTTGCATCAAGCAAGAAAAGAAATAAAAGGCACCCAAATTGGAAAGGAAGAAGTAAAACTGTCACTACCTGAGGGTGGCATGATATTATATACAAAACCCTGAAGATTCCACCAAGAAAACTGTCAGAACTAATGAATGACTTCACCAAAGTGGCAGGATACAAAGTCAATATATATAAAAATCTGTTGTGCTTCTATACACTAATGATAAACTATAAGAAACAGAAATTAAGAAAACAATCTCATTTACAACTTCACCAAAAAGAATAAAATACATAAAATAAATTTAACTAAGGAGGTGAAAGACCTGTACTCTGAAAACTGTTTTTAAGACACTGGTGAAAAAATTGAAAGAAAACACAAATACATGAAAAAATGTGCTCATGGACTATAAGAATTAATGGTTGAAATGTCTATACTGCCCAAAGCAATCTACAGATTCAGTGTAACCCCCACCAAAATTCCAATGGCATTTTTCACAGAAGTAGATCAAACAATCCTAAAATGTTTATGGAACCACACAAGATCCTAAATAGCCAAAGCAATCTTGAGAAAGAACAAAGCTAAAGGCATCATGCTCCCTGACTCAAACTGTATGATGAAGCTACAGCAAGCAAAATAGTATGGCACCTGCCTAAGACCAGACACAGATCAACGGAACAGAGGCTCAGCAATAAACCCACACATATATGGTCCATCAGTTTATGACAAAGGAGCCAGGAATATACAATGGGGAAAGGATAGTCTCTTCAATAAATGGCGTTGGGAAAACTCAATAGTTAACCTGTGAAAGAATGAAACTGGGCCCCTCTCAAATACACAAAAATCAACTCAAAATCAATTGAAGATTTGAACATTAAGACCTGGAATCATAAAACTAGAAGAAAACACAGGCAGTAAGCTCCCTGACACCAGTCTTGGTGATGATTATTTGGATTTGACACCAAAAGCAAAGGCAACAAAAGCAAAAAATAAACAAGTGGGACTATATCAGTCTAAAAATTAGCTTCTGCATAGCAAGGAATTCATCAACAAAATGAAAAGGCAACTTACTAAATGAGAAAATATTTGCAAATCATCATGTGTCTGATAAGGAGTTACTATCCAAATACATAAAGAACTCACACATCTCAGTAGCAAAATACAAAGTAAGACAAAAAACCACACAACAAACAACCTTATTAAAAATTAAGAAAAAGGATCTGAATAGCTGTTTTTCCAAAGAATACAGTTGGCCAGAGGTACATGAAAACATGCGCAACATCCCTAATAATCAGAGAAATACAAATCAAAGACAATGAGTTATCACCTTACACCTGTTAGAACAGCTATTATAAAAAAAAAAAGCATTGGTGACAATGTGGAGAACAAGGAACCCTTGTGCACTCTGCTGGTGGGACTGCCAACTGGCACAGACTGAACACAGTATGTTGGTTCCTCAAAAAATTAGAAATATAACTATCATATGATCCAGCAATTCCACTTCGGGTATTTATCAGAAGAAAGCAAAAAGAACTCGGAAAGATATATGCACCCGTATGTTTACTACACCATTATTTACAATAGCCAGGACATGGAAACAATCTTAAGTGCTCATTGATGGAAAATGGATAAAGAAGATGATGGAGCAATGGGTAAGATAAAAAGTAGATAAGGATTCCAGACAATATGGAGTATTACTCACTCATTAAAAATAATGAAATCTTGCCCTCTGTGACAACATGGATGAACTCTGAGGGCAGTCTGCTAAGTGAAATAAGTTAGAGAAAAGCAATGTGGAACCTCGTTTTTTTTTTTTTTTTTTTTAAAGAGAGCAAGGCAGAGGCTTTTACTTAGAGAGAAAGTGAGAGGACAGAACTCCTGGCTCAAGCTAGGAGGAGACAATAGAGCCCTGGGGTGGTACTTTGTTTAGGGGATTTATAGGCGGTTGAGAGACAAAGGGCTAGCTAGGGATGTACACCTGCTAAGTAGTCCCAAAATGTTTACCTTTGAATAAACACTAACTTTCTAATTAGTCTTCTTGGTTATTTACAAGAATTTTATTGCTCTGATTTCCTCCCAGGATAGCAGCTTCCTGGTCTGGGAGGCAACATGGAATCTTAAAAAAAAAAAAAGGCTCTATACAGAGCACAGATTGGTGGCTGCCAGAAGTGGAGGGGTGGCTGGTGGGCAAGATGGGTGAAGTAAGTCAAAAGGTACAAAATTCCAGTTGTAAAATAAATAACTCATAGGGATATAACATACAACATGGTGACTAGAGTTAGTAAATACGTATTGCATATTTGAGACCAGGATACAGTGCATAGTGAGCTCCTTTCCCAGAATCAGGAGAGAGGTGGCCAGGATCCCAAGACCTGCTACATAAAACTATAAAGGACCCATTTTTAAGTCATGATCAGCAAATAAGAACAAAGTAAAAGAGAAAAAGTATCTAGTTATATCAAGGTCCTAATTCTGAGAAACAGTAAAACTTCTTTAATGTTGTGCTCCTTACTTCTCAATTTCCAAACTCAGATAAGTGTTTCCTACTTGGTGTGAAGTTAAAATAATGACAAGTAAATGACCTTCTGTATTTATGATAAAATATTATGCAATACAGACACAATAGGAATATAATTTTTAATCTTATTTAATTTTACTTATTATAACTCTTTGATACTTAGTTTATAATAGGTAGTCCATAAAATCACTTTTCAGATGGGGAAGCACTATAGAAAATACCTAGTTACTATTTCACACTGCTCCCTTCTACTGACCTTGAAACAAGCTGCACATGCAAGCAGTCCTTTTACTATTCATTTGACTACCTATCTTCTCTCAGACTCATGCTGTATAACTGCTGTTTCTCTGCTGTACCTCTCTGCTCATGTTTTTTGGTTGGCCTTTTGACTCAGTTTGTTGAGGTAATGATGACTCTTTAATCTGTGTGTCATCAATTTATCATCCCTTCCACCCAGCTTGTTGACCACGATTTTGATACACACACCTTCTTTCTCTTTGTTCAATGGGCCAGAGGCAGGTTCAGACCACTGGGGAAGACTAAACTTCTCGTAAGTGAATACTGATTAGTTAATAATAATAATATTAGTAATAATGGTTATTATATGTAAGTAGTACATACTGAATTAGTATGCATCAGGCACTGTTCTAAGCACTTTACAAGCAATAACCCATTGAGGATGATAACTAACCTTATGAGGTAAGTACTAGCATTATATATATATTCTAAATGAAAATGTGAAACACTGAAAAGTTAATTTCCCAAAGTCAAAAAAGCTATAAAGTGGGGCACTGGATTTGACTTCAAGTGGGGACCCATACTCTTTTAACTACCAGGACATATTGCTTCTCAATTTGGAAGCACATAAGTAATGTAGTAGTACTGAATCCCAATAGTCTGAAACAACAGTTTAGACCTCTCTGCATTAATGTAAGTTAGTTTGACAAATGTAAACTTTTTCTTCTTTTATTTTTTAAAGAACAAATGAGATTGTACTGTACTTGATGCTCAAGAAGCACACCTCCTAAGAAAAAAGCCTTAAGCAGGTTTTCTTTTGGAAAGGACTCAGGCAGCCACAGCTGTGGAGCTACATGGGACTGGTGCAGGTACCTGAATGCGCTGAGGTGAGGCTACCGCAGAGTCGGTGGAGATTATCTGGATGCGCGGGGAGGGGCTGGTCATCCCTGGAGATTCCGGCTGAGAGGTCTGTGTACGTGGTACCTGTGGGTGAAAAGTAGGCTGGATCACAAGGGGGCTCAGCAAAATGCCCAGTGGTGGCCTGAGGACCATGCCTCTTGCTCCCCCTGTGACTCTGAGTAATAAACTTGTGTATTTGTGGAGGATGGACCCAGCATGACAAAGGAATCAATGAGATACTGCCACAAGATGGCCCAAGAAAACACAATCTTACAGTAGTTGTTCCTAATGCTGAAAATGCAAGGGAAAAAGCAAAGGAATCTTCAGATCCGCTGTGCACAACTTCAGCAAAATAAAAAGCTACCAAAGTAACTTTTTAGAGATTATCTTTAGATTTTTTTCACTGTCACCAAAAGCAGCTGTAAAACATTCCTTTAAGATGCTAGTTTCCAAAAGATAGGCTCTCACAACACTGAAGAAGATGGGAAACAGAACCAGGTTTACACTGAGAATTACTGGGATTAGTCCTTGGCAAAGTCCTGGAAACCTCCCAGCCCCATTGGGATGGGGGTCAGCAAAAGGCCATCAGTAATATAAGGGTCTGGAATTTAGTCAGTACCCACCAAAGGCTAGGTTTAAAGGTCTGAGAGTTCACCTGTGCACCTGAGGTGGGCAGATATTTTTCCTTGCATAAAAGTGTATCATGAATCAATGTTTTGCAAACTTTCCCAAAAAACAGAAGAGGAAGGAACGCTTTCCTATTCATCTATGAAGCCATTATTATTTGATAGCACAACTAGGAAAAGACATCTCAAGAAAAGAAAACTATAGACTAATGTTCCTTATGAATATAGATGTAACAATCCTCAAAAGAACACTAGAAAGCTGAATCCGGAAGCATATAAAGGATTATACACCATGACTAAGTAGGATTTACCCCTGGGATGCAGGTTTGGTTCAACATATGAATCAGACAACGTAATACACTATATTGAAAGAACACAGGACAAAAGCCACATCAACTCAATTATCTCAATTGACACAGAAAAAGCATTTGACAAAAATCTAACACCCTTTCATAATAAAATCATTCAATAAACTTAGAAGGTAAGTTTTTAACCTGATAAGGAGTATTTATTTATAAATACTCATAGCTAATAAAATACTTACTGGTGAAAGACTCACAGCTTTCTCCCTAAGGTCAGGAACTGAAAAGAAATGTCCACTTTCACCCACCATGCCTACTTGACATAGTACTGGAGGTTATACCAGGGCAATTAAGCCAGAAAAAGAAACAAAAGCATCCGGATTTGGAAAGAAAGAAGAACTATGTGCAGATGACATGATCTTATATGCAGGAAATCCTAAACAAATCCACAAAAAAACTCAGAGCTAGTAATAAGTGAGTCTCAAGATTATAGGATACAAGATCAACATCTAAGAACCAACTGTATTTCTACACATTAAGAAAGAGCCATCAGAAAATAAATTAGGGAAATAATCCCCACAGCATCAAAAACAAGAAAATACTTAGGAATACATTTAATGAAAGTGTGACTTAAACACTGAAAACTACAAAACACTACTGAAAGAAATTAAAGATCTACATAATACAAAGACATCTATGTCGATGGATCTGAAGACTTAATATTGTTAAGATGTCAATATTACTCGAATTTATCTAGATTTAACGTAAAGTTCCAGATGGTTTTATGGCACAAATTGACAAGGTGATTCTAAAATTCGTAAGGATATGCAAGGAACCCAGAATAGGCAAAACAATCTTGAAAAAGAACAAAGTTGGAGGACTCACACTTCCTCATTTCAAAACTTACTACAAAAGCTACAGTAATCAAGATGGTGTGACACTGGTACAAAGACAGCTATAAATATCAATAAAATTAAGACCCCAGGAATAAACCCTTGTAATATATGGTCAAACAATTTTCCACAAAAGTGGAAAATTCAGTGGGGAAAGAATAATCCTTCCAACAAATGGTGATGAGAAAACTGGACACAACATGCAGGAGAATGAAACTGGACCTCCCACCCCCACACTATACAGAAATTAACATGAGAGAGGATTCTGGGAAAATGGTAGAGTAGGATTTACCAGGAATTTATCTTTCCACCTTGCCATACACTGCACTGGTAGAATCTGTCTGATGTAACTATTTTGGAACTCTGGAATCGATTGTAGGCTTGCAACTTCCAACTGAAGGCTTGGACAATAAATTGATTTTTAATTGTGGTTAATTTCAATAAATTTCAGGTCTTAGAACAGCAGCGGCTACCCATCCCCCACCTCCACCACAAAGTAGGCAGCTCTGCACATGTTCCTGAACAGCATGCACATGGCTTGTGGGAACATGGGTAGGCAAAAATGACCCTTGTCCTCCAAATATTGGGGATCTGTGCTCCAATTGCTGATCGCTGCTTCTGATCAAGGAGGTGATCAAAGAGTGTAGCCATTGTTGTAAGCCCCTCCATCTCTGCATCTCCGGCTGAAGTGACCTCTAGGGGACTTAAAGGGCTAGACTGTTTCTCCCCACCTCCCATTTTTCTCTTCTGGGAGCCAGACTTTAAAGACTAGGACATTCAAAAGCAACAGCCTATACAGGGAAAATTAGAAAGTGAGTGCACAGGGAAAGAAACAGGTTTAGAAAAGGCCTTAGAAGACGTTAAGTTGACATATCAGGATAACTCCTGGCACAGAGACAGCCTCAGTACTTCAAAAAGCCCTCAGTAACAAGAACAGCATTATCGTAGGAAAGGGGGAGAACCTTACTTTGAGTTACCACATTATTAGATTCAAATGTAATTTTCAAAAACAAAAACTACAAAGAACAGGAAAGTAAAAGTCATTCAAAAAAAATAATGAACAGAAATTATCCCTGAAATTGGTCTGATGTCAGCTCTATCAGAAAAAGACTTTAAAACAACTGTCTGGAAGACACTTAAAGAACTAAAGGAAGATGTTTAAGAAGTCAGAAAATGATATATGAATAAACTGGACATATCAATAAAGAGAAAACCTAAAAAGAAATCAAAAATAAATTCTGAAACTGAAAAGTAAAATAACTGAAATGAAAAATTCACTAGAGGGATTCAAAGGCAGACTTCAGCAAGCAGGAGAGACTGCTAAGTTTTAGATAGAACAATGAAAATGATCAAGTCTGAGGAACATAAAAAAGAAGGAAAAGTGACCAGTGCTTAAGAGGCCTGAAGGACACCAACATATGCACCACGGAGTCCACAAAGAGAGGTGAGAGGGACAAAAAGTGCACCTGAAGAGTAAAAACTCCCAGATTTGATGAAAGATACGGATATAAATATATAAGAAGCTCAACAGCTCCAAGGAACTCAAAGACACATTATAATGAGACTTTCAAAAGACAAAGAGAGAATCCTGAAGCAGCAAGAGAATCATCACATACAAGGGATCCTCAATTAGATTATTTGCATATTTCTCATCAGAAACTTAGGATGCCAGAAGACAATGGGCTGATATATTCAAGTGCTCAAAGAGAAAAGCTGTCAACCAAGAATCCTACACCTGACAAAACTGCCCTTCAAAAGTGATGGAGAAATCAGAACATTCCCAGAAAAACAGAAGCTGAACGAGTTTCTAATCACTAGACTTGGCCTGTAAGAAATGTTCAAGGGAGTCCTGCAAGATGAAATGAAAAGACACTAGATAAAACTTACAGTTGACTAGAATAATAAAGATTTAAGTAAGGGTAAATAAACGGGCAATTAGAAAAGCTAGAGTTGGAGTTTGGAGTAGGAAGGGGAAACAGATGGTGACATGAGAAGTGAGGCAGAAATCTCCTCCCAAAACCACATTTAACATCAAAATATAGCAAGCAGAACTAATCCTGAAAGAGTGACCCAAAGACTGGAAAACAGACTGCATATACATCTGGGGAAAAGAGAAGACCTCACAGAAAAGAGTAAAGAAGGAAAGCCACGATAATACAGTGGGACCCAAGCACTCCTGCCACCCCAGCTCACAGACAGGAGGAAGAGAAACAGAGCAGGTAGGGAGTAGAAGTCCTGGACTGCTAAAGACCCAGCCCTGGAGATCTGCTTGGGGAGCACGAACCCACATTACATGGTGCTTTGGAGATTAGTGTGGTTGGAAAGCAAAGACAGGCAGAATTCATGGAGAGACTGAAACTCTAGCCAACTGGGGAGAACAGGTACCCACAACTGGCCGCTCCAGGACAAAAGAAAGGCAGGCAATTTGAAAGACTTCCCAAAAGTGAGACGGGTGCTAAAGGGGCAAGGATTACACAGAGCTTGCTGCTCAGGAGAAAGGACAGGTGAACAAATTCATCCTGGCACACTCAGCCCAGCAGGCTGGGAACTTTCAAGAACTTCAGATACTCAATCTCCCTGGCTGTCAATGCAGGGCCGAGGCCCCCACTGCAGTTTGCAGCCAGCTGTTCCTTCTGCCCCACAGGCACGGTTCACAAACCTGCTGCCCCTGCCATCATGCCAGGCCAGCCGGAGAGCAGCCCTGCCTACACTAAAGGGGCATAACACAGAGGCTCCTTCCTGCATGCTCAGCCCACTGGACCTGGTAGCAGAGGCCAGAACTGTAGCCAGGAAGCAGGAAAGAGCTCTTTCCTCCCATCAGGTGCTGATGCCATGCACCTGTGACCTGGGCCATCACTCCAGGTGCTGGGAAGCTCCAGAGAGTAGAGCTTCTGGGCACTATAGGGCGCTGCCTACACAAAGTCATTATTCCATAGGAATCCCTAGAATGAAACAGCAAAAAAATTTTGTAAAAACAAAAACTCAAACACCAGAAAGAGGGCTAAGTGAAACTGAAGTCACCAATCTTGATAAAGACTTCAAAATAAAAATCATAAACATGCTCATGGAGCTACAGAAAAATATTTAAGATTTCAGGGAAGACTTTAAAAAAGAGACAGAAACTTTGAAAAACACAGTATCTGAAATTAAACATAAAATGGAGAACTTAAAAGTAGATTAGATGAGGTAGAGGAGATGGTAAATGAAATAGAAACAGGAAAACAAAGAAGCTGAGGCACAGCAAGAAAAAAGAATCTCTAGGA